CTCTCTTTTTACACTGGCGAAAGCGTTCGTGGCGTCCTCATTCGCGATTGCGTGTGAGAGGCCCTGACGCTGCAGCCGAAAAGACAAACAAGTTTGCACGGCAATCGCATCCCCCCGACGTCGGTGTCGGGCGAAACCGTGACAGTAGTAAGGAAACTGCTCTCGTACTTTACGTCCCCGATGCCACAAATAGGCGTTCCAGGACTTCCCAATCGGGCAAAAAAGATGCACCCACCTCTGGCCTGCGGGGCCTATCTTGCCGTTCCGCTTGTCTAGGCCCAGGCAGTGGGAGATGTCAAAAAGGAGTGGTGTGCACATAGCTCGGCGAAAGCTCGCGATGATGTCCTCAAAACGCTCGAAGAAACCCGTCGCCGTCGCCGGTGTCATGTCCGAGCCGAGGCCGCCTGTGTGGAACTTAGTCCACTGCTCCGTGTCCAAAATCAGTAACCACAACTCCGATGGCATAGACCATGCAGGTGTCGCCCTTCGTTTGGGGGCCCTCCTGAGCTCCTTCACGATGCCCATCAGGTCTGTGCGCGCCTGCTGGAGGTCGCAGAACTGCATCGCGTTATATCTCTGCTCGTCCGTGCGCTCCCGTTCATCATCCATATGTACTCGGTCAAAACGTTCCTCCAACTCGGCCGTCAAATCACAATCGTGGGCCCCGAGTCCTCCTTCTTTCGCAGGTGTCTTGAGGAAGTTGGCCACCTCCTCGGCCTCGCAGTTCTCGTCCCTTGCCACAAGATATCTACGCTGTCGGGGCCCACGTCCTCGTCGCGCCAGCCTTCGTACAAGCCGTTGAACGGTATTGTGGTCGTGCTCTGCCCATGCTGTGTTCAACTCCTCCGTGAGCGTCGAGTTGCGCTCGATCGTGATCTCCCTGGACAAGCGTCGTATTCTGAAGGTAAGCCGTGCCAGCCTAAGTTCTAGGTCGGCACGATCAGGATGTACTTTGCCCATATGTGTAACCCTGAGAGCTTTCCGCTGGTCCAGGAGGTCGCTGCGCTGTTTTTCGAGCTTCGACTTCTCGGTCTCGGTCTTCGAGGGTCTCTCGAACTCTTCTCTTGCCGTCGTCGTCATGAGGTGGGCCGCTGAGTTCCATGATTCGTCCGTCGTCGGGCGCGTGCACAATCTCTGCCATTCTGTTTCATCAATGTCCAGAACGGACTGCTGTATCTTCTCAACGGCGTTCTTGCAGTACTCGCCCCCCCCTCAGCATGCCCATAACTCTGTCGTAGTCCCACGTCTGCCTTTTCACGGCCTGGGCCTCGAAGGAATAATCGAATTCTAAATAGATTGGTCTATGATCTCGATCCTCCAAAGTGTTGATCGGCTGGAGTCGTCGTCCTGGTGCCTGGAGCACCTTGCAGGTATGAATATAACGTCTGAGTCCTTGTGGCACATGTACGAAATCAATTCTCGATGAGTGCGAGTGTGCCCCGTAGTATGTGGGGCCAGCTGGATAGAATGTGTTGGCCGCCATCATATAGGACTCCGATAGAAACTGATGCCAGAGCCGCCCTGCGATACCTTCTTCCTCCGCCTCGTACCTCCCCGCTGCAAGGTCGGTCTCTTCACCGTCGGAGTCCACGTCCTCTATCTGAGCCCCGTCGACAAGATCATCTTTCGAGTACCCGAGCTTATCATTTAGATCCACGCCAATGATAGGTGTACATCGTCCTCCAACGCTCTCGATGGTACTCTTGGCCCATTGTATCATCGCCTGGACGAGCACTCGGTAGCTAGTGTGCGTTCCTCTGGTCGAGGATCTGACGGGGAAGTAGAGGACCATCAGCAGCAGGTCCATGGTGCCCGACTTTAGCCGAACCGCTCCACATCTGCCAGCCAGCTTAGCTGGTGGGCAATATACTCTGCGAAGAAACCCTTGTGGAAAACGACTTCGGTGAAACAAAATGCTCACTCCGCAACTCTTAGTAGATGCTCTCGTCCAGCCGGAAGAGACCTCCCAATGCGCTGGGTGGCTGTACAGGCTATGGCCGCCTTCATGCTGCCGTCGAGCGGTTCCAGGCAAGAGTAGCACGCCGACGTTGCTGAATTCTGTAGATATTTCTTGAGCTCGGGCGGCGCCCGTGATGTACATGGGGTTGTAAGTCACCACTCGAAACTTAGCCTGAGGTGGGGGGTTGGCGCCGCCATTGTCATTCTGCATCGTGTAGCTCTCGATGGCGGTCACGGCGAGAAGCCACCGCCTGGCGGCGGCGCACGCTCCCCCCCCTGAAAGGTCAGGCGGAGCCCCAGAGACGAGAAAACACCATTCTGCTGCACTCTGAAATGTGTGGTACAGAAAGTTCCAGTAGCCGCGTCATGTGTTGGTTGTTCGGGCCGGGCAGCGGCTGGAGGAGGAGGAGGAGGAGGAGGAGGAGGAGGAGGAGGAGGAGGAGGAAGGAGGAGGATAGAAGAGAGGAGAGGAGGATCCCACCGCCCGGGCCCTGGCCCCGCTGCTGCCGCTAACGCTGCCCCGCGAGGGGCCCGTCACTGGCCTCCCTTCCCTCCTCCTCCTCCTCCTCCTCCTCCTCCTCCTCCTCCTCCTCCTCCGGCGCGCCCGCGTCGGTGGCTTCTTTGGACGGCCTGGCGCCGCGCCCGCCCGCGAAGGGCCCAACTGTGTGTTCGTGCGCGTGTGCAAACATGTGCCGAGGCGGCCCCATTTGTTCAAGGGTGGAAAAACCACCCCGACCCCGACAATTCGCGTTTACTAAACAACCCTGGGCGTTTACTAAACAGCCCTGCCCCTTTCGATTCCTTCCATGGGTGCGTTTACTAAACGGCTTCGCTTGTCGGGGTGCTTATTGTGGGGGGGGATTTTCTGCTCTCTATTGGTTTGTCGTTGGGCTGGTAGCGTGGGAAGAGTGCGTAAGTGTGACAGAGCACTGCGGGAGAGTGCGGGTGGGTGCGGGCAAGACTTGGTGGAAGGGAGTGTTGACGGGAACGCCTGGGAAGAGGTTAGAGCGAGGAAAGGAAGCAGGGAGAAAAGAATGACAACGGCCTACGCGAGGCGACAATCTATATGAACGTCCATACAACAGAACGCATCCAGCGTTCTGCGCCCTGTGATGACAAAGCGCCACTCGCGCACTACATATGACGGGACGGCGCCGCGCGCCATGTGGGCAATCGCCATGTGGGCGCCCTGCACCTCCGCCGTGCCGCCCGGGAACCCACGAAAATGGCGACGGTCGCGCAGTCCGGAGCCCCCGAGGGAGCCGCAAGGTCTCAAATAAATCTGCGCTGCCCGCACCTCCGCCGCACCTTCCCGGGAGCTCACGACCGTGGCGAAGGTCGCGCAGTTCGGAGCCCCCGAGGGAGCCGCGAGGTCTCACATAAATCTGCGCTGCCGGCACCTCCGCCGCACCTTCCCGGGAGCCCACGAAATTGGCGACGGCCGCGCAGTTCGCAGCCCCCGAGGGAGCCTCGAGATCTCACAGGGATCCCCGCTGCCCTGCACCTCCGCCGTGCCCCCCAGGAGCCCACGAAAGTGGCGACGGTTGCGCAGTTCGGAGTCCTCTCGGGGGCAGCGAGGTCTCACATGGATCTGTGCTGCCCTCACCTCCGCCGTGCTTCCCAGGAGCCCAGGGGAGTGTCGAAAGTGGCGCAGTCCGCAGCCCCCTGGTAGGAAAGGTACGCGCAGGGGAAGTAATGAGGCAGGCGGCAGGGGGGGGTGGATGAGAGACTGCGGGAGGTTGCGCGAGCAATTCTATTCGAAACGAGAAACCAGCACAACAGGGTTGGGGAAAAACGGTACGCGGGAGGTGTGGGGCCACGAAAGTACAGGTTCAGGGGATAAAGAAAAGTACGTAGCACCCCGCAGATGCGGATAAGAGTGAGGGGGCGGTGGGGACGTCTGCAGTTTGCGAGACTCTGGAGAAGCCCGCCGCAGGCGCCAAAGTTTCACAAATTATACAACCAGCCCGCCGCAGGCGCCGATTTCTTCATTAACCCAATGCGGGTAGGTCGCGGGTGGGTCGCGGGTGGGTGGCGGGTGGGTCGCAAATAGGTCGTGGGTGTAGAGGGCAGAAAACTCACCCTATAATAATCACCCCGGCAAGCGAAGCCGTTTAGTAAACGCCCAAAGCCGTTTAATAAACTTCAATTGTCGGGTCCGGGTGCTTTGTCCTCCCTCGAGGGTGGGTCGCGGGGTGGGTCGGGTCGCGGGGTGGGTGGCGGGTGGGTCGCGGGTGGGTCGCGGGGTGGGTGGCGGGTGGGTCGCGGGGTGGGTCGCGGGGTGGGTCGCAGGGTGCGTCGCGGGGTGCGTCGCGGGGTAGGTCGCGGGGTGCGTCGCGGGGTGCGTCGCGGGTGGGTCGCGGGTGGGTCGCGGGTGGGACGACGACAAACAACAACAGCAACAACATCAACAACATCAACAACACCAATAGCAACACCACCAACAACAACAACGCCACCACCAACAACGACACCACTACCACCAACAACCACAACACCAACAGCACCAATCACAACAACAACACCAACAACACCAACAGCACCAACAACAACAGCAGCACCAACACCAACACCAGCACCAACACCAACACAACAACAACAACAACACCACCACCAACAACAACACAACAACAACAACAACACCACCACCAACAACACCAGTAACAACAATAACAACAACACCAACAACAACACCTGCAACAACACCAACAACATCAACACCAGCATCATAAACAACAACATCAGCAGCAACAGCAACAACAACAACAGCAGCAACACCACCAACAACAGCAACAACAACAACAATTACAACAACAATGCAACCAACGTAATTTTCACCACGCATTCCCCATTTAGCAACGCACCTACGGAAAATGAATGACCGTTCGGCCCCCTCATTCTGATAATGTAGAATGTGAAGGATGGGATGCTGAGCGACAGAGCCTCTCCAAACAAAACGACTGCAAGTCAAACACTAATCAAGAGAGACGGAAGACAACAATGAACACACGACAATGGAGATGCTGCGACCAGCCAACCCTTTCTCCCGTCAGTCGAGGCTACAACGGCAATCGCAACCCGCGACAGGGCACTCCGTGTGGGTCTCGAACCTCAGGGACAAAACGGTGCAGATACCGCACCGCGGCTTCTCGGACCTCTCCCCGGCTGCGTTCGGACCCAGATTCCGCGGTGAACCCAGCCGCGGCGGCGAGGGCATTCCACGCGCTGTGGTAGCGATGGCGTTCCACGCATTGTGGCAGCAGTGTCGGTATCTTATTCCCCCCGCTGAGAACCACCTCTCTAGGTGGGCCAGGTGGCCCCCGTGATGGCACGTCTGGCACCACACCACCCAGCTGTCCACGGTCAGCCTCACGGACGGCTTCGACGCCAGGTCCGGGCCCTCGGCGCGCGGCGCCGGCGCGAAGAGCGGCTGCAGGCACACGGCGCACGCGGGCGCGGGCCTGGGGAGACAGGGAGGCACTGGTGCCGCCGCTCCCTGGGCCTCTCCTGGGGCGCGCTCCGACCATGCCCACGGGGAGAGAGGCCTCCCAGATGGGGTCGGACGATCGCGCCGCATCGCCGATGCATCGCCGATGCATCGGCGACGCTGGCGATGCATCGACGCCGTCGGCGTGGAGAACATCGGGCTCCACATCGGGCCGATCCTCCGACTCCCTCTGGGAGGCCTGGAGACCAGGGCCTCGAGGAGGCGCTGGCCATGGAGACGAGGGCTCTCTGGGCCGAGCGGCGGCATCGGTACCCTTCATCAGAAACCCGAGGGAGAGGAGCTGGCCGCGGCGACGAGGGCTCTCCGGGCCGAGCTGCGGCATTGGCATCCTCCTCCTGCTCCCCTTCTCCTCCGCTTCCTTCTCCTCCTCCCTCCTCCTCCTCCTCCTCCATCTCCTCTTCCTTCTCCTCCTCCTACTCCTTCTCCTCCTAGCCTCCTTCGCCTCCTCCTCCACCTCATCCTCCTTCCTCCTTTCTCCTCCTTCTCCATCCTCCTTCCTCCTCCTCCTCCTCCACCTCCTCCATCCTTCCTCTTCCTCCTATTTACCTCCTCCTTCCCCATCCTCCTTCTCCCTCCTGCTCCTCCTCCTCGTCTTCCTCCTCCTCCTCCTTCCTCCTCCTCCTCCGCCCTCCTCCTCCTCCACCTTCTCCTTCCTCCTCCTCCTCTACTCCTTCCTCCCGCCCCTCCTCCTGCTTCCTCTCCGCCCTCCCTCCTTCCTCCTCCTCCTCCCCTCCTCCTCCTCCTCCAACCTCTCATCCTCCTCCTCCTCCTCCTCCTCCTCCTCCTCCTCCATCGCCTCTTCCTTCTCCTCCTCCTCCTCCTTCTCCTCTTCTCCTCTCCTCCTCTTCTCCTCTTCTCCTCTCCTCCGCTTCTCCTCTTCTCATCTTCTCCTCCTCTCCTCTTCTCCTCTTCTCTTCTTTTCTTCCTCCTCTTCTCCTCTTGTCCTCGTCTCCTCTTC